TTTGTTATTCGAATACTTCGAAAAAGTAATACGGAAGAAATAAATCAATAAATCACGTTGAAATACCTTATATTCTATCATTCATAATCAAATCAATGATTTACGGAGCACTGAAAGCAGTTGTTTTGTATTAGCTCGTAAAAGTAACAATAAGACATTTATTCCGATTTTTAACAACCGTTATTGTATTATTTCCCACGAGTAATAATACATATTAAATAAATAACTCATAAACGTATCTTTACAATCAGAACAATCGTCAATTAAAAAATTAGTGAATGGCAATTTTAACGAGATCCATACACCAACTGTTAAACATCGTCATCGACGACAGATCCAGAACTAAACATTGTTCACCTTGTTATCAAAAATTTCCAACTGACCACGAACCCTGAAAAATTACTTAACACAGTCCCAAAATAAAAAACCGTTTCTAAAAATCACCCCGATCGACGGAGTCGAAAACACAAGCCTTCATCCCCCGAGTCAAAATCATCCCCCGAGTACAAATCGTCCACCGACCCCGTAAAAATTCATTAAAATATCGAACGAAGAAAACACCCTCTAAAAACCGCCCGAAAAATTGAATAATCGCAACGCGCACACCGTGGCCTCAGGAAACATCCCTTACGAAGTACCAAGGGCACGGCGGAGACTGTTGCCACCGAATGACTACAGACTGGCTGGTCCTAAGACCGCCGACTACACCGTGATCAAGGATACCGGGGGTGAGAGGGGGAGGGGGCGGTGGGGGGCACAGAAGTGTGGAGCGGCCGTTATACTAATTTGGCGGGGCGCTCGTTAACGACCCCTTTGAGGTCATAACTTTTGCCGCAAGTCGTATTTGTGTGCGTGGATGCGTTCGCGCGAGCGCGCGCCCTCGCGCGCGTGTGTGTGGGTGTGTGTGTGCTTGGTGGCTGCGCTTTACGGTGTGCCTCCTCTCTTTGTCTCGCGGTGCCCCCGCCAACGTCGGCGGGGCCGCCTTGACCGTTGCTCAGTCAGTTTCGGCCGCTCCACGGAAAGCGTCGCGACGCTTTCAGACGCGCGTTACCTGGCTGGCACGGGGTGCGCATGTTCGTCGGATCAGCGCGCGGCCTCTCGTGTGGCGGTCAGCCAGCCTCTGGTGGGGGTGAGAAACGTGCTCGTCACCCTCGAGGATCGCCTCGAGAGACTCAGTAAGCGCCGCGAGTTCGACGTGGCCGGAAGCGTTCCGCGGCATCGCCACCGCGTCCCGAGAAGTGTTTCCTACGCCGCCGAATCTCGAAACAGTGTGCGGGACTCTTGTCTATCTATCATTCTCTTTTTCTCTTCCTCCGTTTCCATCGCGCCTCCATCGAGAGCCAGGATACGAAGCATTCCGCGCGTCGGCCGAAAGGAAGCTCGCCGCGTCTCGCGCAGGGTGCGCTAAGCCGATAAGACTCTAGGCGCGATCAGGCTCTCGCCATCGGTAATGCGTAAACCGCTGGAGCCGGCGTGTCCCATCGGGTCCGGTGTCTCGGATCGGCAGCTTTGATCATTAAAATTCGACCAGCTCGAGACGGCCCGGAGAAAGTAATTACTTTAAGAGGAGCTCTCGGGGCTTCGGTCCAAGTCCCCCAGAGCGGTTCTCCTCAGGGGATCAACTCTCATCCCTCGGTCCTCGGGGAGGCGAGCTCTATCGCTCTCTCTCTCTATATATATATATTCCTCCGTTCCTCTCCGTCTCTCTTCTCTCCCCCCTCGCTCTCGTCCTCCACCCACGGAGCAAAGGATCACCGCTATCTGCTGGCTAGCTGACGTCATCAAGAACAAACAAGCAGATCGAAGATCCGCAGGAAAGGCGATATCATATCCCCAGGAGCTGGGGGACAAAGAGTAGCCCGGGCTCTCTTTTTCGAAAGAGACAGAGAGAGAGTCACGGAGAGCAGACGCAGACTGGTGACGCCGGAGGAGGGCGATTCAGGGTCGAAGGGCGAGTTTAAGGGCAAGAATCGGATTCCCGAACGGCGGCTACCTTTGATCGCGCCCGGCCAACCGAACTCGCTCTAATTAGCTGTCATTCATCGTGTTCCGTCCCCGATCCTCTCTCACTCTCTCTCTCTCTCTGTCTCTCTTTCTCGATCCTCTCTCGATCGGGAACCTTCTCGTCGGGGAGGCTTCCTCGGCGTTCGATCGCGATGACGATCCTCGGGCCGAGTCCTCGAGGCGTCCTGGCCGCCTGATGTCCCCGGAGGTCCTCAGGAGAGCAGAGCCCTTCTCGACAAGCAGCCCCGTGAAACGATGATCGACGCCCGCTAGTGAGGATCCACCAGGTTTTACGCGTGTTCCGCTTTTTTTCTGTGCTACGCCCGAGACCCGGCCGAAGAGATGTGCCTGCGACACTTGCTGCTCTGCCTGCTGGGCGTCATCGTCGTCGTCAACGGTGAGTTCTTGCGTGACCGTTTCTTTTTTCTCTCAAAAATGAAAACACGTCAAGTTCGCCGCGTCGTCGTCTCGAGACGTCGGGTTCCCCCGGGGGAGAGAGAGGGAGAGAGACGGCTCGCCTCTCGGATTCTCCGGCTATCGCGGCCGTTTTTGGGCCGGGCCAGGTGGCGGCGGGACACACCTGGTCCACCCTGGAGAGAGGCTACCAACGGTTTTGTTCGGCGTGATTTATCGGGCAACTTTCGCGGATATTTTGCCGGCGATAATTCAGCCGCCGCGGCCGAATTGTTCGAACCCGGCACCGCACAATACTCGCGGCCGGCTCGCGAACGCTCGCCGTCGAAAGTAGGCGGGTTTCCCGGTTCGCGAAACGCGCTGTTAACGACGCGCCCCCGGTAATTATCGCAACGGCGACCGGCGTTCTTTCGCGATTTCTTGCGGAAATTCCGGACGCCGCGGCTCGGGATTCCGGGATACGATCCCGTCGCGGTCGTATTTTTTAGGACGCCCGACCTCGCTGTCCGTTTTTCCGCGGAGCTCTTTGATTCGGCGGCGGAATTTTGATCAACGACGGATCGACGAGATTTCAATCTCGCGCTTTTGTTAGGCCGGCCGAATAAATGAAGTTTCAATGGAAGCGTCGCTGTCGATTCGCGAAGTATAATGTCTGCTGCTCTTTGTATGCCTTGACTGTGTGCGACAGACGTGAAGAAACTTTGCGGGTTTTTAGACGCGGGAATAATTGTTCCGGATTGTTGTTGTTGGAAGGATTTGGAACAAAATCGTCGCGTATGCGACTGTTCTTTGACGCTAGGTTTACGTGGAAACGACGGAAGAATGAGAATTTTTTAACGCTCTGTAAAATGTACCTAAACGGATGAATTTCACACGAGAACAATTCATTTGTTTATTCCTATTGTATATTCTTTCAAGTTTGATGCCTTAGTTAACACTGGATTTACGGAACCCGTCAAAATGGCGGGTCGCTAATTTTTTCATTTACGATTATTCGGATTGCGAAGATACATTTTTGAGTTATTTATTTAATGTACTTGTTACTTGCCGGAAATATTACAATAGCAATCGTTCAGGAGCAGAATAAATGTCTTATTGTTCCTTTTATAAACTATTATAAAACAGCTGCTTTTCGGGCTCCGTAAATCTGGCGATGATTTCTTTGGAACGATTCGGTAGACTCAAAACTGTATACTTTTTTAGCCAAAAAACTCGTCGCATGTTTGCACGAATTTGTCGGAACATTTTACAAGAGATCAAATCGTACAATTAGTTCCGAGGCTTCGAAATCGCTCGAAAGAAATCCAAGAACAATTTTCCACTAAAATTGTGCAATGAAATTGCGTCGAGCCCAGGATTCGCGATAATTAAATTCATCGAGGTATTTACCATCGTACGTCCGCCATGCCGCGTGTATCCCGGCAAACAAAGTACGGTGTTTCGAGGCTAGTAAATCGCTCGGAAGAAATTAAAGAACCGTCGTCGTGCTCGCGACGATTCCACATGGCGGTAATATCGAGCGAGTAAAATATCGGAGCGCGGCGGGTACACCTGAAAAATGATCACAGTGCTCCCGGTCCCTTTGTGCGCCGCTAATTAGTAACAAAATGAAGAACAGGGAGTTGTTCATGGAAGGACGGCCGCGGGCCATTGATTACGATAGAATGAATTTCCGCGAAATATTTTTTGTCGGATTCCCGGGACAGTATAACCAAGTAGTTAATTATTTAACCTGTACAAACGAGCTGCAAACGCGGAGCCTGCGAGGGCTTTGTTTCCTGGAAAAGATATTCCGAACGCGTTCCGATGGATTTTATTATGCGGATGTTTATTGTCTTGTTTATACGGAGACGTTCTACGTGCGCGCGCGCGCGTATGCGTGCGCGTGTATGTGTGCGTGTATGTGTGCAAGGGAATCGTTGTTCGATGCGCCGAGCGTTTTACATTCGTAAATTGCTTTTCGCGTTTCCATTACCGGTCTTTCTTTTTTACGTAGAGAGTCACGTGTCCCGCCGGTTCTGCTATTTTCCGCGTCTATTTCTGCCACCGCAAATAAAAGTAGCCGTCGTTTTATGGACTTTGCAATTACGCGGGAATTTGTGCTTTCTTTTCGTCTTTTTCTTCTTTTTCTGTCTTCTGTTTTCTTACGCGAGAATTAAAGCGCGACGTTGTAAGTGGTGTAAGACGCGGCTTTTCGATGGCCCGTCGATCTTCTCGCAGCTCCGGTCTGTAAACGCGCGATGAATCGCCGATTTCGTCGAAATTAGGCGACTCGAGAGAAATATTTATTTCGCGCAGTTGCGAGAGGGAACGTGAACTCGTAACTGCCGTAAAGTGCCAGAAAAGTTTGAGCTTAACTAGCTTCTGAACGAAACTTTTCCGCGGACCTCCTTTTTCGTGCTTAAGGAACTAAAAGGTTTCTTGATCATTCCTTTCTCTGCGATCGCGCCCGGGCAAGCATGGACGATCGAGGGTCGATTCGATGACGATAATCTCGATTATAGAGAGTACAGAAATTCTGCTCGATATCTTCAATTCGAAAGATTTTATTTAAACGCGTCGGAAACGAAATGATTTTAACGCGCGATGATTAAAGTACGTAAAAACACCAAATGTAATAATACCATTAAAAAATAGGGTCGATCATTAATTATCTGAATTGATGATGGATTTTATTGCGATTATTGCACTTTGACGATCATGTTTAACAAGAGACATTATACTTAATAAATTACTCTATACTCTAAGCGATGCAAAAATAAATGTGTCGAGTATGCACTGGCGGAAAAAATTGTATTAAATTAATTGTAAAATGCATTTTCTGTCGAGCAAACTAACTTGTTTCTAAGCAACATTTACACGAATTTTTCAGGGTTGACTCGAAGAGAAGTCATTTCAGAAAGCTTTTCGTAAAGAGAAACATATCTAAAAATATTGTACTTTCTATTTATAAATAAGTTCCTCTAATAAAATTCGCGCGTCTGCTTTTTCATCACCCATTCACTACACCAATTCAATATCGTTTCACTTAAGAAGAACAGTTACTGAAAACGCGCGATCCAATAAATTTGAATATAAATCCGGCGAGAAATGGATTATTTTTTTTGTTAATACATAAATAAAGAAATTTCGTATCGTGTGAAATATGAAATTTTCGGATGATTTTTTCCCTCAAAATATATTGTATCACCGTGTTCTCATAAATTCGCTGATGCTCGCCGCAACATTTCGCATTAAATCTAGCCGAAATTCGAAGGCTCGACGAGCGTTCGCATCGACGCGAAAGCGCGACGGCACTTTCCAATTTTGTATTTTTTTTTTTGTTGGCCGAACTCCAGAGTTCCACGATCGCGAATAGCGACGTGTGTTACAATCTACCGCGTAAAAAAGTGCCGCGTAAATCGAGGGAACGGGGGCGTATTTCTGAAAAATGTGCTCGCAAGTGAATGGAGGCTTAAGAGCGCGCGGCTCTCCCGATACAGGCTCTTGGGTGTGCACACGGCATAATGGTCGTCAGGACCAGCGGCTGTCGAAGCAGTTACGGCCGGTCTCGGAGAGATTTTTCGGTGTGCGGTCGGTTTACAGCAAATAGTAACAAGGAAAATAAAACAAGAATGGCCGCGGGCTAACGCGAGTCGTTTTTACACGCGTCGGCAGATTTTACGGCGTGCCGACCCTCTCGTAATCTACGCGGCCTGGTAGAAGAGACAGGAAAAAGCGGCAAAAAGAGAGACAGGGTCAGGAAAAGTGCGAGAACGAGAAAGAGAGAGTGTGCGAGAGAGAGGGGGGAAGAGAGGAATGCCAAGGGAGAGAGAAAGCAGAAGAGCAGGTTCTCGCAATGGACGAAGAAAAGGGGGATTGTAAAAAAAGCCAACGCGCATTGTGGGGTGTTAACGCTCGCATTAACGGAGCTTTCGTCGGGGAAATAAAAAACCATATGCATGGATGGACGACGGTGGATTTCGACCCTAAAAAATCTGCAAGGTGAAAAGCACGGGAGCCCGTGAAAGTGAATCAAAACGCGTCGTTTCTCTTCTCTCTATTTCCCTTTTCTCTCTCTCTCTCTCTCTCTCTCTCTCTCTATCTGTCTGTCTGTCTGTCTTTCTTCTTTTTCCCCCTTCTTCCCTCCTCTTTCGTTAGATCGATAGACTCACCGTCAATTCGCTACCGACTGCCAATGAACGAAGGCAGTTATCCTTTCCGAAAGTCGAGATCCGGTGCTCCGCACGTTCCGAAACTTCGCCAGCTTTTTACGAAACTTCGCTTCCGTCCGTGTCACAAATCGGCGGTCGGTCTCTCCTCTGTAATTTTTTTCCTACGCGTGGGAGCTCGCCGGCGAGACTTTGGACTTGTGCATTCACCACGGAAACGGGTGGACGAAATACAAAACCCCGGCAGAGAGGGATTAGTATAATCCGAACACGTCTTATCAAAAATGGAAACAAACGTTCGCTTGGATTCCGGCGCTTATAATGAATGCAGCAAAAGTTTCGCTTCTCGCGACGGTTTTACGTCGAATATTTTTACGGCTGATAATATATTCGAACGTATCGCACGAGTGTCTCGGGGTTCTGTCAGATTTGTTCGGGTTGGATTTTTTAGATTCGGCATTTACGAAATTTGTAAGCGCGAGTGGTCCACGATAATGAAGCTGTTTAAAAAGCGGGAATAAGCGAGAGAATAATATCGGAAAATAAATGTTATCAACCCGGAATGTATAATTATCTTTCAGTGAAATGATCGGTGACTTTGTTCGCATTTTCGAGAGGCACCAAGCACGTTTTTCGAATCGCGTTCGTCGGCAACCAATGGGATCTCTCGTAGCCCGTATCGATTTCACGCGAGAGACGCGATTCGTTCGACGAGTTTTCCGCGGGAATCGATCGGATCCTAGGGAAATTGAGCGACGGAACGAACCCCCGGAAAATTGCACTGTTTACCTTCAATTACGTACGAGTGTACCTTGCAATAAACAAGATTACG